GTCGCTTCGCATTGTCGCACGTCGCTTCGCGTTGTCGAGATTCGCTTCGCATTTTCGCGATGACACTCCGCATTGTCGTGTGTCGAACCTTAGACGCGACGGACGGCATTCTAAATGGCAAGATAAGGACACCGAACTAGATGGACCTATTAAAATATTTTTAAAAAGAGTAAACTATTTTTTTTCTTTAATTTTCTTTTTAAAGATTTTTAAGTCGTTAATTTGTTTGCTTATATGACAATTTAAAAAAGCTTCAATTTTAAAATCTATTTTATTAGCCCTCCTGTCCCGAATGTCTTATAGACCAGACACATTTGTACAAATTTTGATAGAGTTTCATTCTAACAACATCACAGGTAAACTTCATCAAATTTGACACAAGGCTTTCGTTAGAGATATCGTTTCGACAGTCGAAGGCTCATAATCCAGTGAAAATTTCCATGGAAACCAACGGTTTATTTGGATTTCTTCTTTTTTTAACAAAATATAAGAAAAAGTCACCAAACTCATTTACCAGATGATGTTTCACCGCACTGACAGAAGATGGATGCCGGTCAAATTGCGATCACAATAGCTTTCTATGAGAACTTTGTTTTTAGATGATCAAACAAATAATATTATTAAGTTCAATACTGAGATAATTCTGGAAAAATTAGTGGAGGTGTTAAGAACGTTTATCACATGTGATATAGTTATTGATAAGGAACATATGAGCCGTGTCACGACAAAACAAACATAATGGGTTTGCGACCAGCATGGATCCAGACCAGCCTGTGCATCCGCGCAGTCTGATCAGGATCCATGCTGTTCGCTTACCAACTCTATTACAAGTAGAGAAACTGATAGCGAACAGCATGGATCATGATCAGACTGCGCGGATGCGCAGGCTGGTCTTGATCCATGCTGGTCGCAAACGCACTATGTTGGTTTTGTCATGACGCGGCTCATATACGTATTTGAAATCGATTGTATAGTTCAGCTAATGAAACTAAAAAGGGTAGGCAACTACAACATTTTAATGCAAAGAGACTTGTGTGAGTTATCTGTTGAATATTTTATTATTTAATAAGTATGATGGTAAAGTGGGAATTAAGTCGCCTGAATTTCATGTTAATAGCTCTAGGCATGTTTTTCATTACATGTATTTTCAAAAAGTCAATAATATACTTAGTTCAAAATGTAAAAATGTCGAAAGGTTTTCATTTTTCATATTTATTTCCAATTTCATGTTAATAAATCACACGAGGCGAAATGCTCTGTTGATAAAAAGATTGGGGTAGTCTTTTTATATTTAAGGCTTTTTTACAATTTATCCTAAACTTTTATAATTATCAGTTATTGGTCAATCACCATTAAAATAGTCAGTCTTTTGAAGTATAAAGTTAATTCGCATCAAGTTGATACCGAAAAATAAACATAATGTCAATTTAATTGTTTCAAATTTTATAAACTATTCGAAAAACAAAATAAACCTCCTTACAAAAGTCAGCAACTGGACCGTCCAAAATAGGTTGTTGTATATATAGTGTAGGTTGGATACTGTTATTGAATTATGTAGAAACAAATTAGAAATACACTGTCAATAAAATAGAATAATACCAAAAAAAAACGCTTCTTTCTTTATTTCTTCTTATTTTTTTTACTATATATTGTTAAAATATATTAACAACTTATTTAATTGTAAATGAAATAAAGTATCTTGACTTATATAATATAATAACAAAATTGAAATGAAATATTAAGCAGCGCAAGGCACCAGAAAACCTTCTCACTGTTACTGTTGATGTGTGGTGTTTTGTGACTGTTATGCAATGTGGAGTATGTTCTTTAAGCTCTTGCGCACCAGAACTCCAAACAATGATTTTATTTAGCTATAAAATCATTGTTTTGGATATATTATTTCTTTAAAAACGCGGAAACAAAAGACGTAATAGTGCGAGAAAAAGGCGATTTAATGCAAAACCGAAGATTAAATAAGCACAACAAAAACATCTGCGGAAACGTGATGTATTACTTGACAATTAAATCTAAAATAAGATGGAGGATATGTTAGCTGTCAACATTTTGTTTTTGTCCGATGTTCACTGCTATTTGAATTACCCATTAAAACAACTGGTATATATTATAAGAATAGAATAGAATTTTATATCCAGTCATGGGCCTTTACAGGCATTACATATTAATGACATTGTACAAGATGAACAGAACTAAAAACATAACATAGCTAAAGCTTAATTATGATTAGCAAAAAGAAAGTAGAGCATATTAAATGAATACATTGTATACAAATTGAACAAGAAATATCTTTAAAAAAGATAATCGGCGTAAATTCAGTGCAAAATGTCTCATAGCTTTAGAATATTTTCAAAATTAATGATATTTATACTTTATAATAATATAAATGCCTAAATTGAAATATATTCGGTGGTTACTAGTATAATCTATGACAGTTGTCTAAACTTAGCTGAAACATGTATGCTCCTATAATGTCAACAAATTAGTCATGTTATTATAGATGCTAGAAGCTTTTTTGTCACCGTGACTTTTGACTACTGGTTTCAAAGTCAATACCAGATAATAACCAACCACACTACCAAATTTAGAGACTGCAAAGGCCACAATCAGGTGACAACTTGAATTTTAATGTTAAATAATATTAACTTATATGTATCTGACCTTCATTTTGTAAAAGCACTTCTCTGTATAAAATGCTGCAATTATTAGGTCATGATAATAACACCAAAATCTTTTGTTGTTTATATCTTTTATTTATGAAAGAATACAAACTGTAATAAACAATCAATGGAACATATCAACTCTGAACTATACTATTTATAATGCCTTCTTATCTATCTGGCAATGAAAATGAATAATTGAAGACTTAAATCAATAGTTAAACATAACCTTTCTAGTAAAAGTTATAATTATGTATTTTATAAAAAAAGGATTTCTATTAAAAATTGCACAGCCTGACTAGTATTTTGTATATACTAGGTGTATGAGGTGGAGGTACTAGTTAAGCCTACTGGCATGGCTACGTGTCGTACACCTACACAGGTTATATTTTACAATGTACTTTAAATGTGGAATGTAAAATATAAATGTTGTTCCATATATACAGAAATATATCTAATTATCTTATAATAAGTACTAAACTCAATTTTGTATAACCCATCAATGACACTGATTATCAAGTGAGACAGTTTCAGATTGTGGTAGTCAATTGGGGTGTATTTCGGTAAATTTACCTACCGGTGTAAACAAACGCCGAATAACTATGAATAAATTAATTTGTTATTATTACGCACAAAAAATAATACTTAAAGTTTTGCGATTCTTTATGATTATGTAGCATTTTAAATATATTAATTTTCGCAGTTCATATCAGCTCTGGAGAATCTTTTTGTTGATCAAAAATATCTTTCATTTTCATAGAAAACAGAAAAGCTACGGCAAATAAAGTACGAGTGAGTAGTAATCGAATGTTTAAGTAAAGGCTGAAAAACAAAAAGTTGGGTTTGTTGTTAATAATTATCAACAAAATAAATTGTACATGAAATCATATGTACTGTATATTTTTGTATTTTGATATATCTTTGTTTTGGTCATAACGTTGTGATATTTAGTTTACGATTGTATAATTATTTTTAATACAACTTTATTCTTAGAGACAAGTAAACTAAAGATTACGAATTTGTCCTTAAATTTCATAACAGCCAGTCTTTCCACCAATGAAAAACACCCTCTTTTAGCTGAAGATTTTGTAACTAACAATTTCATTTGTTACAAATCTAGGTCAAAATCCATTTTAATACAGCTACGCCGAATAAAAACGATAATGTGAATACATCCGCGATATATTGACCAACAACATTGACCTGGCACTCTTGCATTTGACCCCATAGTCGGTAAATTCCGTAAACGTTACTACCTATTTGTAAATCGATATGAATGTATATAGCCAGTTGTGAAATGGTCTAAATTGCAAATCCCTCTTAGCAGAGTCATTAAGAGCTTTCACTTGAAGAATATAGACGTACACCCGTAGGTTCGAATCCTGGTTCAGCCACTTTTATATTTTTTGTCTTATTTTTAAATTGCAATTTCTCTCTTAACTCGTGCAAAACGTTTTGATTTTTGGTTGTGTTTTCTATCTGTGTATTATTTTAATTTGCATTATGAATGTGCTGTCCTTTTTATTAATAAATATAAAGTAATGAAATAAACAATAAAATTGTATAAAAACCACTACTTAAAAGGTATCCTAAAAATCAGATGCAGTAAAACTATTTCAAATTAACTCTTGCAAGTAAATTTTAAAACGAGAAAAAAAAATGAATGTCTTCATAACGTGGTGTTGGTCAGGTATCGAACCAGGGAACTTCAGGTCAGTAGTCAGGCATCTATACCAATACACCACAACTCATTGACGTATGAAATTAATAAAGATATCGATATATTTTTAGATACAACTGTTTATCACCTGACCTTTACGGAAATTAATGAAGTGCCAGATCAATATTGTTTGACAATACTTTCAAACAATATTTAAATGGATTGTCGCGCATCACTGCCTGTACATTCAAAACAGCATGTGTAATATGACGTTAATACGTATAAAAAATTATCATTTGTACATCACAAGTTGATATGTATAATGTAATGTCGAACTTCCTTGTTGATTTCCCTGTTCTCAGTTTTAATGTGAAATATTCTAGATGACATGTACAATTATTACTCTTCTTCCCCTTTAAGAAGGCCCCCGACAGTAATTGTTTAAATATTGTGGGAAAAACAACAACATGGATTTAATATATTACTTCGCAATAATATTTATTTTGTCGACTGCAAGAGCTTTAAACTATCAATGTAATGAAGTGGATACAAGCACACTACAATGTAATTATATTCCAAAGGATATTCCAAATGGATTCACACGTGTTAGAATCATAGATTTTCTGGGGGAAAACAAAACATTTGAATTCAATAGTTCATACTTTATGTCTAAAAACTGGGAAGATGTAACTGAACTTCAGTTACAGGAAAGTGATCATGAACAATTTTCAGAAATCATTTTCATGGAGAAGTGTTTCATCGGATTGAAATCACTTCGAGAGTTACATATGAATCTACCGACACAGATTCAACTAGATTCAAATCTTTTTGTAGGACTTGACAATCTAAAATTCTTAGACTTGAGTGAATGCGTTCATTTAAATCTTACAGTACTTGTAAAAAGTTTTACAGGGTCCAATAAACTTCCAAGCTTGGAAACTTTGAAGGCATCAAAATTAAATATCTACAATGGAGGAATCAATTTTGACACAAAATTTGCCGAGGCACTTGGTGATAAACAAATAACATCTGTAGAGTTCAGTTATACAAGCGTCACAGAAATAAACATAACCGCTGTTTTACAATACATACAGACATTGAAAAATGTGAATATATCTCATTGTTCAGTAGCAAACACTATATATGGTAAGAAAAATGAACTTCAAAAGATAAAGAATATCAATATGTTTGATATGTGCCATGTACCAGTATCTTGGTTAATTCCAACCACAAGATTTGTCAACATGACATGGAAATATTCCGAATTTCCTAAGCCGTGGAATTATCTTTTATATCCTAAAATTGTCAACATGACTTCCTGTATAACTGATCCAGGATCAATTCATATTGAAAACTGCACATACATAGCTGATGTACCCTTTCAATTGAAAAGTGAAGAATTGATAATAAAGAAAAATAATGTTAAACATTTAGATCTCAAGATGGAATGCTCCAGAAATAAAGTTAATACAATAAAACACATTAATGCAGCAGAAAACCTAATGGAATTTCTCCATCCTAGTATATTAGGATGTACCCCTAACATTGAAGCACTTGACTTGTCAAACAACAAGTTACATAAAATGGCAAAAGAAAATCATCTGTTGTTTCAGCAACTGTTCCAATCAATTTCAAGTCTAATTTCTATTAACTTATCATTTAATGGACTTAAAGTTATACCGGAAAATCTTTTCACTGAAAATCGTGACCTTGAACTGATAGACTTTTCTCATAATGAACTGGAGCAAGTGACCTTCACATTAAAACATCTGTACAAACTGAAGGTTCTTAATCTTCAATATAACAGGATAAAACTCTTAAGCTCTCTTTCTATCAATAACCTTAACAGTATATACATCACACTAGGAAACACAACATGGACTTTGGATCTTGGGAATAACCCTATATCATGTTCAAACTGCGAAGCAAAACAATTTATCTACTGGTTAACACATACAAACTCTGTGAGTATTTCCACAACAAATCTTGCTTGTACGTACTACATTAAAGAATACAAGACGGAAAATAGATAAACATACATTAAATGATGTCAACAACATTTGTAAACGGAAGGTCATGAATATTTCAACCACTTTATCTGTGGGATTTACTGTTATTATTGTTGTAATTGTTACAATGGTTGTATACAAACGTTGTAAACAAGCTTCTAAAAGAATGAAGAGGGGAGAATACGTCAACAGGCTACAAGAAGGTCAAGGTCAAAACGAATTTGTTGCATTTCTTTTATACAGCAGTGAGGACAAAAAATTTTTTTGAAAAAATTTTTGGGTTTGTGACTTTAATGTTTAACTCCAGCAAAAAGGGCCCGGGAAATAGAAAAAAAAATTTGATATGTCCCGGGTGCCCTTTTATCTGAGCCCGGGGTTTCGGGATTTTTGGACAAAAGATAGCTTTTGTGTATGGAAAAAAGCATGGGTTTTCATTGTGGTTGTGTCAGTAATTTACAACTCAAGCCCGTTACGGGTTCATAATAAATTTAAAGTAGGGCTTACCCGATTTTAAAAAAAACCAAATAGCCCTTTTTTCTTTAAAAAGGGGATGTTGACGACCCAACTTTTGACCCCAAAAGTGATGAAATCTTTTTAAAAAAGTAACTCAGAGTATTTTTTGGGTTTTTTTGGGAAAGCCGCAATACACATTTAAAGACTACAGGGGACAATTTTTGGGTTCGTCTTTGTTTGATTTGATTTTGCAAAATGAAAATATCTGATACAATAAGAGTGATCATAAAGAAAAGTTTATAATAATTACAATATCATTCTGAAATATTGAATGTTAACTTTTTATTTGAGAGATGATATATATAGGATTTTACCGAAGTTGTTATTTAGTATTGGCTTACATTTATTAATTCTAGGGAAGCGTTATGGGAAATGTTATACAATATGAAATTACAATTAATGAATGTTACATTGGTTGGATCAGGGGTATATTTACAAACATTGTAAAAAGCCAAGTATTATGTCTATAAGTAATATATCCTAACAGTTAAAACGTTTAAGCTCAACAAAATTTTAATTTCAGATATTTTAACAGTGAATATGAATCTGTCAACCACCTTTCTGACTTTATGTTATCGTGTGACGCTTTTGACTATAACGTTAATACTTTCCAATCATTTATTTTATGCTTTTCAGTGGATTACTGATTTATCTGTGAAAATTATATTTGATAATTTCACACTGAAAATTATAAAAATATAATTTCACACTTTTCAATGACGAAACTACTTTACGAAACCAAGATTTTCCCCATGTAATACCTCAATTTTATTTTTGCTAACAATTCATACAATGTCAGGCTGTTTAAAGAAAAAGCAAAGCTGAAATTGATAAATAATTTAAATGTCAAAAGTAATGAAAAGAAGAAAACTTACTTGTATTCATTCAAATTCCAATCACCAAATTTCGTCTTTGTTTCATTTTTACAGTCTGAAAAATACATTCCTTCCACATGCAAAACTGCTCTTGATGACATTTGGGCATATTAAAGTATCCTACGAGCAATAACTGCCGTATGCTTAATGAAAATATGAAAAGCAATGACAGCCATAAGCTCGAAGAATAAGTTAACGACCCAGCGTTCCTGGGCCAGCTTCCAAGTTTTCCATTTTCCTAGCTGCATTTTTGAATGTTTTCACATTTATTTATTGTCTGTTACAATCCTTAAATAAGTTTTCGTTCTTTTAAAAATGTGTATGACTAACAAATCCAAATGATATCCCTCTGAACACAATTATTTTCCTCCAGTGAAATATACAACTTTAAAAAATGGCTGCCGCTTACATTTAACAAAGCCAGGTCTAATATAAATTTGCAGTAAGTAACAGAAGTATCGATGGATGGTTAGACTTTTTCACCTACAAAAATTGTTTGTTTTATTATTAAAACAAGCGATCATTCATATTTTTTAGAAAATGAATAATATCACCGTCATTTAACGTTGATTGTCGGACTTATTTTTCAGCTCAAGACTTCTTGTTTTTAAATGAGAAATTCCGACTAAATGGGTCTCTCAATGGGGAAAACAGATTTTAATATTAACGTTAATATTATGGAAATTTCGTTTTAACTTGTTTTTAAGCATAAAATAAAAAGAATTTTTTTGTTTGTTGTGTGAGATGTAATTTTATTTCATCTCGTAAACTTTAAAAACAGTATTCTCACTCGTGGCTACGCCACTCGTGAGAATACTTTTTTTAAAGCCCACTCGATGAAATAAAATTTCATCTTACACACAAACAAACAAATATCCTCCTGTATATTTTGAATAGGAAATACAAATCGAAAAGAGGTAAAACAAATACCGGGGGTATAATCACTTTCTCCAACTAGCAGACGACAGGCTTTTCTTATCAGTAAAGATAACTGGTTGCGTATCTCTTATGTAAAATGGGCTGACATATGGTAGGTTTAACAGTTAATTCAAATACTTTGGTGTCAAAAGATATGTAAAATTATATACTGTTACAAAGCTAAGATCCCAAGCTTTCCATTGATGTAATAATTTTTAAAATCGGACATTTAATCACAACAAACTAGCGGTTTAAAAATGGCTTAATTTGTATTGTTTTAGCGTATGAGATACTAATTTTACTCGAAGAGTCGTATTTTTCACTCGATATACCTCGGTTATTTACCTAGTTCATATGAAAAGTGTTTATGGGTGTATTATATATGTCCGCGACACGTTAAGCAAATATGTGACATTTTTAAAGAAAACAGACGACTGTATAATTTGGCTTAAATAGATATACAGACTATGACCATACGCAACACATCACAAGGTTTCTAACTTATCAGTCTATTTTTTGGGGAGGCTATGATAAATGAAAATTTATAAGTAAATGCTTTAATTAGGTGGCAAATATTCTTTATTATTTTTGATAACAATTTTCCAATTACTACGCAGCGACCAACTGTTTATGACGGGTCATTAACTAGAACGTTGCAACACCGTAGTCTCAATATCATGCATGTTCTTTTGTTGTTATTGTAATATTCTTTGAATATCTTATATACTATTAAAGTTGGTCCATGCGATTCACAAATGGGAATATAATAAGAGAAAAGACACAAGTGTGTTCTAGTCAGTTTTATTATCTGGACTGCTGCATTGGCGGGAAATCTCCCAGGATATAACATTCTACAGGCACAACGTGGTCAGTGGAAATTTACAGAAATGAGTATTAAGGTTAAAGGTCATATGAATATAAAATAACTCAATATCATTACATTTCCCTCTTTTTAAATACATAGCTGAATGGTATCCACATGTTAATAAATCATAAAGGAATATGGTTCAATTTAAAATAACGTTAGAATAACACATGTTTAAATATCAATTAAGTAATCAGTTTATATAAACAAATATATGTTTATCAAACAATGTATGTGTTTATTCCAGTTTATATATTTTTTTCTTTATAGTTTATTTTTTTGTTTGTGATGTTTTCTTATTAGTAAACACTCAGTATTTTTTTTTTTTTATTTTTTTCAATTGTTCACCATGTTCTCATTATAATATCGTTTGTTCAATTTCACTTCCCTGCCTGATCGTGTGTGATAATAGTGGTCAATTGGGCTGGGCTTATTGGAGGTCAATGAGTGGTCAGCATTATGTGATTCTGAAATTTTTCCATTAATTGAGGGAGTGATAGGGTTATTAGCCAAAATGTTGGGGGAAAGTTCCTGAATTTCTGGGAAAGTTTCTTCAGTTTTATTAAGCATTCGCCTATTTCTGCGGTAAATGCCACCTGCATGAGTTATTACAGAGTAGGATCGGTCATTGTGAATTTTTATCACTTTTGCTGGTTTCCATGTTTTGTTGACCTTGATGCGGACATACTCATTAAGTGTAAGAAGGGGTAGTTGCTTTGATGTTTTATCATAGCAACTTTTTTGTTTCTGCTTTATTGTTTGCATCTTTTCGCGTACCTGTTTACAATTTACTGTTTTGGGTTGTAACTGAGAATTTGTGGTAGGTAGAATAGATTTAGTTCTTCTACCCATTAGTAACGGATTTGGGGAGAAGCCACATTCAAGAGGGGTGTTTCTGTACTCAAGTATTGCGAGATAAGGATCTCGGTTACTCTCCTGAGCTTTCCTGAATATCCGTTTAATAATCGACACTGTTTTTTCGGCCAATCCATTACTGTTTGGGTGGAGTGGGCTGGATGTTATGTGGGAAAACCCCAATCTTTTGCAAAATCTGAAAATATTTCAGAAGAGAATTGTGGCCCATTATCAGTGACAAGTTTGTCACAAATGCCATACCTTGCTAAGTGAACTTTTAGCTTTCTAATTATAGTAATGCTTTGCGTGTTAGGTAGAGCATCTACCTCAAAGTATCTACTATAGTAGTCTACAGTCAGCAAGTAGTCCTTACTGTCAAAGGAGAAGAGATCAGCGGCAATGTTTTGCCAAGGTCGGTCCGGCACGTCGTGGGGAGTTAATGGTTCTTTTGCGTTGGAATACCTGTACTTTTGACATAAAGCACATTTTAAAACATGATTTGTGATTTCTTTTGTCATACCAGGCCAAAACATTACGTCTTTAGCCCTTTGTAAACATTTTTCTACACCCATGTGACCTTGGTGCACTGATTCAATCACCTGTTTTCTTGCAGAGACAGGTATGACGATTCTCTGCCATCTGAATATAAGGTCATTTACTGACGACAATTCGTCCCTGTGGTTCCAGAGCTCAATTATTTCTTGTTTACAGTCTGCACGTGAAACTGGCCATCCGTCAATAATAGTTCTCTTCAGAAGCTGCATGCTCGTGTCATTTTGAGTTTCATGCCTGATTGATTCCAGTCTGTTATCGGTTATGTGTAACCCTTTCAACACTGTATGTACATGTAAGTCGAGACCCTCTAATTGTAATGTCTCTGGAAGCGGTTGTCTAGAAAGTAAGTCACTGATTGGTACTTGTTTTCCAGGAACGTGGCGTACGTCAAGGTCATATTTTGATAACTGTAACCGCATTCTTTGAAGTCTCGGTGGACATGC